CCCCAAAACCCCAAAACCCCAAAACCCCAAAACCCCAGCCATTAGTATTTCTAAGTTTTAGACACTGGATAATAATATAATTTAAGACTAAGAAACTGCCTTTCTCGATATATATTATTTAAGTGTTACGAATTTCAACAGTCCTATTAAATTTATTGTCAGTGCTGATCAGAGAGCATCAATATTAGTTGCAACATATGGGATTGTGTGAGCTAGAGCGACAATATTTTGTTATGAGAAGCATCAATTTCCTCATGTTTGGTGTAACTAGAGATTTAGTGTCTCTTTCCGATGAAAAAATAAACAGCACTGACTATTTAAAAAAGTTAGTAAAAAAGCAAGCACTCTTTAATTATTTAAGAGGAATTAATAAACATCAATATAAAATAACTATCAAATGAACCTCAACAATTTTTAAACTTTCCAAAATTTAACTGCTCTCAACAATAATAACTTTTACAATGAATATTAACTGTAAAAACCCGAAGCAAACTATCACGAATTAAAGGTTATATATGGTTCTTAGAGAATTCAAATGCTCTATCTTCTTGATGAGACTCTTTCTCAACTGTATAACAAAGTAAAGACTATTCATATTAATGGATTTAGTTGAGAATGATGTTTGATATAAATCCCTAATATGAGATTTTTTTGCAAGAACAAGACAAGGGAACTTTAGTATACCAAACAATTGAATTTCAGACTGGATCCTCTTACTATTTATGGATAAAAGACGACGAGAATTCATTAAAGGGCAGAAAATAATAAACGGATAAACTATAACCAGACACTCTAGGTAAAAAATTTTTTAAATGCATGCATGGAGTAACCTATGTTCAGTAGGAATTGAAGAGGAAATCAAAGAAGATTAGCTTTCAAAAGATGATGGCTCACCTATAATGTATTGCCCGTTTTACGAGTGTAAAAAGCCTTTTAGACATTCAGGTAACTTAAAGACGCACATTAGGTCTCACGTATGTTTTTTATTTTTTATATATCATATATAGACCAATGAAAGACCATTTTAATGCCAATTCCCTCTTTGTGGTTTATCTTTCATCACCAAAGGTCACTTGAAGACTCACATGATCAATCACAGTAATGAGAAGCCTTTCAAATGTCATATTTGCGGCATTAGTTACTCTTAAAAATCAAGACTTGAAATCCACTTAAGAAAGCATTTTGGCATCAAACCATTCACGTGCGAAATCTGTGGAAATCATTTCACAGAGAAAGGAAACCTTAACGTTCACATGAAAAGTCACAAAGGAAAAAGAGATTATGAATGCGAAATTTGTTGTCAGAAGTTTATTACAAAAGGACACTTAGAAGATCATTTTAGGCGTCACAAAAAAGATAGAAAATTTAAATGTGAAATCTGTGGCTCTGAATTTTACAGATCGACTTAATTAAAAAATCATTAGTTGAATCAAATGAGATGCATTAAGAATAAGTAGCTTAAAGAATACGAAGAGAACTACTTCTCAATGCACAAGAATAAATTATCAAACATGTCACTATTGTAAGAATTTTATTTTTTTACTCTTTATAGACATGATATTTTACAAAACGAAGGATCCTCTTCCTCCATTTATAATTAATAAAATTAAAACTTTAATTACATGGGGTAATAATCAAATAATAATTAAAGTCCAGTAAATGATGCATAAATCCTCCAATTACCATCAATGAGCCAAATAGCAGCTAATCTTAACATTAAATCCTCAAACTCTAATTCTGGATGTTCAAAGAGTGGAATGCTCCAATAACAAAATAATGATCAGTAAATGTGCTAATCTTAACAACAAGCATAATCGAGTAATCTGATTTAACAAAAAGTAAATCATCAATCGTTACCCACGTTCTGCGGAAATTTTTAATCTTAAGAGCATCACTAATAAATCATTCAAAAACCTCAAGTGTTCCAACATCAGTCTTCATAGCTCTTGCAATAATAGCCATAGATTATATACACATCTTAGCCTAAAGTATAATAATAAAACATAAATCAAGCAGTAGTACAACAATAAAATCAAACAGTTTTTCAGTAAAATTCCTAGCCAAAAGTAATTAAGATTATTAGTCAGGCTTAATATTAAGAATAAAACTCTCAGAATTAGCAATTTTAGCCTTTGATATAAATTTAACCCTAATGCATTCAATAAGCAATCAGAGTCGAGTAACCAAAGTACTATTAGATTCAGCAGAGCACTAATCAAATAAATTAACAATTTTAGCATCAATAAAATCAATAATTGTTAGTGCAAGCACCTTTAATCCATCAAAATCAAGTATAGTTTATCTAGGTACCTCAAAACTGCTAATTAATAAGCAGTACCAATCATAACGAGTACCCTGCCTAACAGTAGCAGTTCATCCAACGCAAATATCTATGAAAGTGTTCCTATTAAAGATTAAATATGTATCTTTGCTTATGTGTTTTTGATAAAATTATCAGACTATTCTTATATATTAATTTTTAACTCTTTAATTGCTTATTTATCTTGTTATTCTTCATCTACTCTAAAATCTATTTCTTGGGGTTTTGGGGTTTTGGGGTTTTGGGG